CAAGCCCCAGCTGCATAATGAATCTTGTATCCTGAACAGAATCACAGCAGACATCTGCTGAGTCACAACACATTTCTATGCAATATTCTATCTTATTTGGTTATTTGGTTTTTGGTCTTTACTTAATATATATCATAGAATTATAAATTACACTATTATCTTATATCAATAAATGTCTCTCAATTTTATCAATTATGCAAGCATTCAATCCTAGTAATTAGTCTCTCTGTGTATATCATCAAAGATTTCAAAGATTTTCTTACATCTGGTTTCAGGGTTCGGATTTACAATCCACTAGGTGTCACCCTTTCCTCAGTCTCACTGTTAATTATCTATGCAGCAAAATTCTCTTTCCAATACAGTTCACTATCGGTTGTCTCTGGCACTGTTCCAAACTCCGAGGCAAATAAGTGTCAAATACTTATAAATTCAACAAGCAGCAGAAGGGAAAGTGAGCAGGAAAAGAAAAGGGGCAGTGTACCAACCCGGCTGTTAAACAGTCTCTTCTTTGAGCTTTCCAAATCTTTTCAGCAAATATTATCTTCCACTCCACTCCTGTTTGTCCATGTCGGAATTTCATTCTCACTGTGGCTGATTCCTTTAAACTCTTCCAGCTGTCCCTTTCTTCCCAGCATCTCAGCGTCTCTGCTCTAGTTCTTTTAGGCAAAATTAAGCTGCAAAAATAGCTTCTCTTCCGGCTCTTTCTTCTTTCCAGCTCACCCTCTCTGCCAGATTCGTGTTGCCTTCCTCTTTGGGTTGTCAGCAATAGTAACAAGTATTCCGATTTCACTGCCTCGCTGTCTGTTCGCTCCCTTCTTATGCGGTGGCCATCGTTTCAGTCCTAACCAAAAGGCAGGATATCTCCTCGTCCACTTAGGGGGTTTCTCCTATCCGCAGGGGGATTTGCCTTATCACCCCAGCGTCTACAGAATATCCCCTTTAATCTGTTGACCCCTTCAGGATCAGTGCTCAAAAAAGAGCCCAAACGAAGGAGTTAGAGTTAGAGGTTAGGAGAGCTTCCTTCCCTCTGCTCTAAGCACGGTGACATCACCACAGGAAGTCCCGGGAATAGCATCTCTATAGAGGTAAGGATAGTCCTTATTTTTGCTGTTCCATAAAGTGATCAAGACCTGGTTCTTCTGCAGTATGGGTGAATATTGTGTTGCTCCTGAAGAGGAAATACCTGATTTTTCTTGTATCAATAAGAGTATGGCTGTATATTGGCTATGATTATGATTTTACTGTTATAGCATTTGTGGTTCGATTATCCAGATTTAAATTGTGCTTGAAAGTAGTACTGTAATAAAAGAGTGCAAGCCACTCGTCCTTTTTTTTTTTACAGAAACATATAAACCTTAATACAAATTAACTGAAGATGCTACTTGAGATTATAGCAGTAATGAACAATTCATTATAACTTTCTAAATGAAATACACTTTAATTTGAGTGGAAAACTGATCTTGGTATCTCAGATGGTCCATATAGTACTCTTATCTTGCCCTTTAATCTTTTTCCTTATTCTCTTCATTTTCTTGGGGTTTAAATTTTTGTTCTTGAATTCTGTAGAAATCAAGTTCAAATTTTTGCCATGAAATATTAGATTAAGATGAAAAGTAACGATTTCTTAAAACATAATGTACTGCATTTTGACAGTATTCCGCTATAATGTTCATGTTTGCAGATTATTTCACTGGGATTGCTCCTAAATCTAACTAAAAAAAGGAAAAGTAATGTGACATGTTTCACTGTATGAGAAGGAATTACTTCTATTTCTCAAATCTATCTGTCTCTGTGTCTCTGTCTCTCCCTCCCTCCGTTAGCACTAATATAGTACATAATTATCTAACCTCCAACCAATTTCTAACAACAGTACCTATAACTCAACACTGTTCAAGAACCCACATTCGATTTGTACTAATACTTTTTCTGCCCCGTCCTGTATATTTTTCTCCAGCTATATTGACACTTCACTTCCTGCACAGAAACTTCTTCATTAGTAGACAGATAGTATAGTACCATTTTTCTGAACTTTCATTGCAGTGTATTACTATATTGTAATCCAACAAACTGATAACTTGTTTCATTTGTTTCTGCCATTTTGTAGCAAATGTATCTTTCAATGTGTTAATAATTTATCAATGTCCCTTTGTCTTTCAGACGGAACAAGAATCCTCCACTGCATATTGATATTTATATTTGTGTTTTTAATGCTAGCTTTGGTATTTTTGCTTTTAATGATTATTCGGAAATATCAGAATATAATTAAGTCCTTTTGGCAACCTCCTCTAACAATACCAACACACTATACAGAGGTATGTATTTCTGCTGACTTGCAATAATATCAGATTGTAGTAAACTGTTCCTGGAATTCACTTACATTTCCATCCTTTATTCCGTAGTAAACTCAGACAGCTGGACTTGAGACATGTTAATGTATGATGGTGGGTCTTCTGAGTTAACATTGCAGCTTCTTTTAGCCTGAACCATGCAGTCTTTGCACCTTGACCCCTACACATTATATTTGCTGTGATTGTGATCTAAAGGTAATGGTGCAGGTTGAAAACAAAGGAAGTACATACACCATTAACATTATCATTAAACTTTGTTTTTCAATCATGCATTAAACAGAAATTGTGATTGGTTATAAATATGGCAGTGAAGCCAGATCATTTAGGGAGAATCTACATTCCAAAGGCAGGGGCTACTTTATCAAAATTGCTGAGCTTAACTTTGTTTCATGTAAATGTTGTATCAGGTTTTGTCCACTTGAAACAAACAATTTAATGAGGATGCTGGGACTTCTGCATATAACACTCAATTCTAGACTTTCTTTGACTCGTTCTTGATTTTTTTGAAAACATTGTTAGATGGAATTGCTTAATATTGAGTCAGTATTTCTCAGTAAATGGGAACTAATCAAATATAAAGTGTATACTAATTGCAATCTGGATTTACTTCTGAATTTTTTTTCCTGGTATATTATTTCTTTCTTTTGCAAGACCTTCTATGCCTCAAGTGTCATTATAGTGCTTACATAGTAAATTACTGTAGAGTGTATTTAGTTAAAGTTTATTTTATTTTATTTATGCAGCTCAGTCCTATATTTTATTTGTAGACAAATGTAAGATAACTGAGAATCTAAAAATTAGATTCCAGCAGTGTATAAGGACAGTGTATAAGTATAAGGACTATGAATTAGCATACCAAGAACATTTTTTAAAAAAATAGAACATTATATAATCTAGGAATTGTAAGTAAATATTAATATAAAAATAGTACAAACTATATTGAAGTAGAACAGATGTATGAGTTAATAAAAGTGAATGTATTTATTTAAATATTATTTTTAAAACATGCAAAGCAATTCCAAAACAAATATTTAGGTTGCATAGATAAGGTTTGCAAACAAACAAACAAAAAGGCCTGTTAGGATCTTAGATCCAGCACTCAGAATGAGTAGAACTGATCTTTTTATGCATTAGGATTAAGGGCAAAGTGTTAAGTATAACAGAAGCTTGAGATCTCCATGCACCCCTTAAAAACATAACATTAAGGCCTAGTTACTTGGGGGATTGCCTGCTCTCATAATGTTTGTCCAGCTGATTGGATCTTGCATGGAATTCCGGTGCACTCTCAGTTCCTTCAATTACACAATGCCTTCTCCCAGAATCCTGGAAATGTGCCCTCTCTGTAAGCTTTCCAACAAGATCCCTCACCACCTCAAGAACTAGATGGCTCCCACTCAGCTGTTGTTTAGAAAAGCCAGGAAGGGTAATGTTCTTCACCCAAGCATTTTGCAAGAGAGTGTGAAATCCCTCACCATTCTGCTTGCCATTCTTTTTTCTTTTGATTTTTGTGGCAGCAGAATTGTTAAGAATCAAACAACATACAAATTTAATGATTATTAAAAAAAACTCCATCACAAATCTTTTACAAGGCATAATATTCTCATTTCTCTTTTATATCCTTGTCTAGACTACCAAATGTGAAAAGAGAGTCCTTGACTGCATCTTACTTTTGAAATGTTCTTCTTTCATTTGCGCTTTGATCTGTTAAACAAGAGAACTTCCTTTTTCAACAGCAGAGGGAGCTATATTATTAAATGAACTCCTTGACTCACGACCACAGTTGAGCCCAAAATTTCCATTGCCAAGCAAAACAGTTTGCTCCATTTTACAACCTTTCTTGTCCCATTTGTTAAGTGAATCACTGCAGCTGTTAATAACACGATTGTTAAATGAATCCGGCTTCCCCAATGACTTTGTTAGAAGGTTAAATTGGGAGGCCAGTTTGTCAGGTCACAAAAGCTAATCAGACGATTCCAGGACATTGCAACTATTATAAGGTTGCCAAGTGTCCAGATTTTGGTCATGTGACCATGGGAATGCTGCAATGGTCATAAGTGTAAAAAATGGACATGAATCATTTTTAGTGCCATTGTTTAGCACCACTAAACAAATGATTGTAAGTCAAGGACTACCTATATTTGACTTTTCTCCCCCTTCCATTCAGTTGTGTCCATTCTCAGAGACTGACTGCCTAGACACTTCCTGCAGTTTTCTCAGTGAGGTTTTTTTTAGAAGTGATTTGTAATCTCCATCTTCCTTGGGTTAAAAATGACTGGCCCATGGTCAGCCAGCTGGTTTTGTGCCTAAACTGGGATTAGAACTCAGTCTCTACATCAAATTGGCGCCTCTGCCAATTAAAAAAATGAACTTTTTTTTTAAATGATAGAGATAGCTACAGTATTAAAGGAAGTCTTTGATTCTTCCAATGGGAAAAAAAACCTTGCACAGCTATTTTAATTTGGGGATTTTATTCTTGTCAAAATATTTCAAATCGTAAGACTAGAAAAGAAATAAAACTGAGTCTGATCCATTTCCTGAATGTCATCCTTGACATGACATACAAAACCACTTAGTATAGAACTCTTGTACCTAGAGATGTTTCAGATCCCTGTCATAAATCAATGTTTAATATGCTTAAAGCCTTCTGGTATATTCCATCATTATTAAAATTAGAGATTAATAACAATCTGAATCACCAGGAGCATAAAACATTTTTCTTCACTCCATAGTAGTGCCTGATTATGTGCCCTCATCTTTCTTTTCTTCTTGCAAATAGACCCCATTTCTGTGAGCAAAAATATTAGTTTAAAATTTGGCACATCTGAGAAATGATAACATTTGTTTAAAAATCCAATTTTTTTGCAACTGAACATTCTAAATATAAAATTGGTTACATAATCAAGACCCCATTTCAGATAAATCTGTATGAACATTTATATGAAATGAATGAATGAATTCATTCATTTCATATAAATGAATAAATGAATAATGAATTAATAGAATTTTCCTCAAATAAAATGTTATGAATTGTTTTTCTGTTTACTATTTTGCATTTCAATATTATCATAGCAAATATGAATATATTTTATTGGTTTCTAACTGTGCTAATGTTTTTTTCAGGACCTTAATGACCCCGAAATGATTACAATTGAAGAATTTCACAACTCTGCAGCAGAAGACCCTTGTGAAATTATTTCAGTTACCTCCAAAGCAGAAGATGATACGATTCTGACAAGTTTTGCCAGTGAACATAGTTGATACATAATATGATGAAAAATATTTTAACATCATTTACACTTTATCCATTACCATCAAATTATTTTATCTGTTTGTTCAAGATCACCCAATTTCTAAGGAAGTTCCACTCATCCATCTGCATAGCACTGTGAATTAAAAAACTGATTTTCATAGCATGGGGTTTTTCATTTGGAAGAAAGTCCTAATATTTTAATAGGTTTTGTCATGTTTAGAATTTTAGTGTGAATGTTAGAACACAAATCCTATTGCCTCATACATATATATTTTTCTAATGATTAGTTTTGTCCGCTCCAGAACAATGATAGTTTACACCATTACCTCATTAAATTATTTTGCAATAGACTAAGATAAGTTGATTTGACATGAAATTAGGTAGTGAAATCATTTGAAATTTCAATGCTGTTAAATATATCAGAGATACATAATACTTTTGACCTGGTTTTAATTTACAAGCTTGATGTTTACATTATTAAACTTCTTAATTTGGAGCAATCTTAAGAATGTAAAATTGAATACCGTCAACTGCAGCTGGTGAATGGAATAATGTGTTTCGAATAAGTTTGTGCTCTTGAACAGGATGGAATCAGAAGAACTTCCTTGCATGATGGACTTAAGGTCCTACTAGTTACGTCTGGTGGATCAGCTGCAGCCTGTTTATTAATTGGGATCTTGCTTCCAACATTCATGGGACAGCAACAACTTAAATTATTGTAATTTTCTGTGACTTGGGCTGTGTGACTATTTTACTTCCTGTTAACTTTAACAGACCAGACTATGATCCAGTTGTTTTTTTTGTTTAAAAAAAATTCAATTGGACTGGCTACTAGCAGCATTTAAAGATTTTCAGGGGTGTGTTATTCCATGCTCTTCCTGCTGTGAAGTTTATTTAAACAGTACTGTATATAGAATCCTAGACAATTGCATAAGCAATTAGAGTACTCAGAATTGCAGCAGGGTAAGTTCCTACATTTCTCTTTTCTAGAATCACTACAATTGTACCTTCCTTGGATTTCCTTCCTTTATCACAGCAAGATTTGAAGTGCTCAACCTTGTACGGCACTCATTTAATTACCAATTTAAATAATTTCATAGTTTTCATGATACTTGCATATGATTTCAGAGGAGATGTTGAGTTCTTAGACATTTTATACTGTTTTTGCACTGAATTTATGATGTATATATATTTGTATTGTATATAAAATCATTTTCTATCAGAAAAGCAACTTACTTTTTATAAACCCTAGGAAATAGTGGGAAAAAGGAACTGATTACAGCTAGTTCTCAACTTATGACCATAATTGAGCCCAAATTTTTTGTTGCTAAGTGAAACATTTATTAAGCAATTTTTTCCATATTTTATAACTTTGCATGCCAAAGTTAAGTGCATCACTGCAGTTGTTAGTAACACAGTTAAGTGAATATGGCTTCCCCATTGACTTTGTCAGAAGGTCACAAAGTAATCACTTGACCCTGGCACACCACAGCCACCCTGGTACATTGACAACTATACAAGTCAGTTAAGCATCCGATTTTTAATCATATGACTATATGGATACTGCACTGGTTGTGTGAAAAATGGTCATAAGTCACTTTTTTCAGTTCCATTGTAACTGAATGGTCATTAAGGAAACTGTTGTAAGTCAAGGATTACCTGAATATGTTATTTGATTGTAGTGATAATTCAATTTTAATTAGGCATCCAGCCTAAGATTAATGGTACTTTATGCTGTTTAAAGATTAAAATTATTGATAACATTAGAATTGTCCTTATTTTCCTCCTGGTAATGTATGTATATAAAATGTATCTCTGTATTGGAACAACCATAAAATCAAATGCAGAACTTTTATTAAAACCATGGCTGATTAATGGGTATTACAGGTTTCTCACTTTATCTTTTAAGCTCTAAGACTGAATGTTCCAAATTTATCTGGTGTCCAGTCTCCTAAAACTAGGGAGCTCTATATTAAGCCAAAACTGAACTCTTAAAATACTTGTGTTAAGCATCACATAAAATGTAGTACTAATGTTGAGCTCAGCCAATGATTGGCAATTACCTTTTATCTCATTGGTGGAAAATGGTAATATGCAAGAGAGCAGTTAAGTAAAAAAAAATTGTGCCAAAATATGAGTAAATAAAAGTTTCTTTTTGAATGTAACAGACTTATGGCTGGAATTAAGAGTGGTATGCTGTACAATTCTTGAAAATATTTATATTAAGCACTTAAACATATACTACTTCATAGTGCTTTACAGCCCACTCTATGTGGTTTACAGCAGGGGTGTCAAACTCGCGGTTCAGATGAGTCACACACTGGTCATGTCCACCTCCGGTTTAGTGAAGGAGTAAAAAGTTGTCAAGCGTCACATGACGTGTTGTCGTGAGTTTGACACCCCTGGTTTACAGAGTCAGCATATTGCCCCCAGCAATCTGGATCTTCATTTTACCCACCTTGGAAGAAAGAAAGGCTGAGTCAACCCTGAGCCAGTGAAAATCAAGCTGCTGGCAGTCAGTAGAATTAGCCTGCAATGCTGCATTCTAATCACTGCGCTACTGTGGCTCTCATTTAATGGCTTATAGGCTAGTTCTACTCATTACTTGTTCAATACATGCTAGAAGGAATTTTTTTATCAAAACCTGGGCAATATCTCAGATGTCTTTGTATCCTAGTATTTGCGATGCCATGATGTGCCCACCAAACGTAACATTTTAAAAAATCCCAGTTTTTCATAAAACCTTTAGCTCTTCGTGATATGTATTGCTACAACTGTGCAGGTGTTTGAAATATGTGATTTACAAAGTATTAGTTCAAAAGCACCCTTCTATTAAGTCCCAATGCAACGAATCTGCTTTATTCTGGATTATCTGTGCACAGACAACACTGCTAGCAGCGATTTGACTATGCATGTGGACAAAGCCAGTGATAGCTTTTAAGCAATTGCACAAGCCATGCAAAGGATGTAGCTGCTTTATTGCTTCAGGATGAGGTACTTTGTGCCTTCTCATTTTGTACACCTTTTGAGTCCACTGTCATAACATTACCACCATCCCTCTTCTTCTTTCACTTGCTTTTCTGAAGTCCATAGCTAGGTTTCTTTTCCTTTCAAAATTATCAGGCAGCGTGTCTGACAAGCACCAAGGAGAAAATCCATGAGCAGCGTATTGGCGACCCTATTTCTACTGCAATTATATTGTACCTTTTGTTAATACACAGATAAGATAAAGCACTGCTGTGGGATCATCTCATAAAATCACATTAATATAAAACAAAGCATTTTTATATTGCTGATTATTTGACTTTAATGTAATTACATTGAACAAAATAGTTTAATCTTTGAAATATGGTCTACTCCAAGAAAAAAAAAAGGACAACTCTTAGCATGTCAAGTTTGCTTCATAGTCTGTCCTTTGAGAGGGCTAAGAAAGTCTTTAAGAAATAACTACCTGGGCAGATTTATTTTCTAGTTATGGGAAAAGTCAAAGGCATGCAATATGTCATGGAATATCTGCTTCAGACCTTCTATAGTCAGACTGTAGAGCAATTTGAGTATTCATAATTTAACTTTAAATTATACAGCATATCATAATTTTCAGTGTATAGTTAGTCTAGATTAATATGTCACCACTTTGCATACATGTTTATATAAATTAAATATCTAAATTTTATTGGAAAACATTTAAGATGATACTCTTACCATACATTGTAATAAAAATATATACTCTCTCTCCACTGATCCTTTTAATTTGGAATATAGAAGATCACATCTAAAGATACAGAAGTTATCCTAATAAAGTAAAGTAAATAATAAAATAGGAGTTCCTGAATTGTTTTTAACATAAAACCTCCCTTACTCTGCATATTGCATTAGCATATAAAATACACAACGATTCTGCATTAAAATAATTGCAATCTCTATGTATAAATAATACTGTATATGAACAGAATCTTAAGTGATATAAAACATCTTTAACAAAATGTCTAAATATTGTAAAACTTCATATCAATTTTTGATATCTCAAATCTATCAGCACTTTTGGGACCATCCCATTTTAAGGCATGCTGTGCTAAAAAAATTAAGCTCTTAGTGCATTTGCAGTAGCATGGGCTATTCACAAATTTGTGAAATTAGTGTTATATGAAGCAAATTTTGGAATATGGTGTTTGTTTACACAATCATTTTTTTAAAATTGATGCTTAAAGAGGTATAGTCATGCATTACCATATAATGATGGAATCTTGCAGATACTATTCATGATAAATTTCAGTCTCTCACTTTTCCATCACTAAATCTTTGCCTCTTGGCTGATGCCATCTGAAAAGGTACTAAGCTTATTTGTGCTTAAGAGCAGTAGGTGTTCTTGAAAAATCTTTACATTTATAATATTCCCTATGTATCATCAAAACCAAACAATGCCAGTTGCAATAAAGGGTTAGGGTCATTGATTACAGATAACCGCAATATATACATATGAACAAATTTGTTCTACTAAATGTTTGGAACAAAATCCTAAAATCAGTTCACTTAAAAAAAAAATAAACATACAATACGTTCAATGAGTTTGGCAAAATAAAAACAAAATGTAAATTATATTATTTACACAAAAAGTTGCTATGCAGGATGAAGAAAAATGGATTCTTACGCCCACAATTCTTCTGTTCTTCCAAATTTGTAAATAAGAGTACTACAAAAAGAGAAATTTAGTTCTGTAAGTCAAATGTTGTATCCTTCAGTAAAAATGGACAGTAAAAACTAGCATATATTTCAATTAATTGGTCCATCACTAGTTTAAAAAGCAAAAGCATATGACAATAATGGATTTAATTCCAATATAATTCAGTATCCAGTGCTTTGGCGATATGATTTTTTCAAGCAACACTTTTTAAAAGGGGGAAGTTAAAGTAGCATACCAACAAAGCCTTATTAACTGAATTAGTTAAATTATATTTATTTTTCCCTCTAATGCAGAGGTGTCAAACTGGCAGCCTGCAGGCTGGATGCATCATGCGCAGGCCATGCCCATCCCAGCTCCACAAAGGGAAAAACATTGTGATACGTCACATGACGGCAACATGATGCAGCAAGTTTGACACCTGTGCTCTAATGGAATGCATTATCATTTCCAGAAAAACAAGAAATCAGTGCTGGATAGGTTAATGCACTCCTTAATATTCAAAGGAATTTAACAAAATAAAGAAACTGAAAGCACCGAGGTGAAGGATATGTAACCACATTGCCTATTAATCTAACTACTGTTTTAAAAGAAAGTAGTTCAGTAAGAAACTTCATCACAACTTTTAAATATATGTAGCTAAATATATTCAACACTGTGCAAACATACTGCTTCTATCACTTAAAATCCAAACTGTGTGGAAAAGAAAAGGAAGATAAAGTCAACAAACCCAAAGGGCTATTCTTAAAATGTATATAGATTTCAGATGTGTGTTTCAATGAAGAACTGCTTGAATGGAAACAGTTTAGGGGGAGAAAGGGGTAAATAATATTTGACCTCTCAGATTTATTGGTGAAATTGTGCCTAATCACCTGACCCCAATTGTGTTGAACTGGTGTGGCACTGTTATTGGCGGGCATTTCAAAGCAGAGGGCCTTAGAAGCACCCATCAAAGGTATTGGTCATTTTTCCCCTCTTGAGAGGAAGGGTGTGTAATGAATGAAAGTTTTTAAAATAGTAATAACCTTGTAATTAGTCTCTATATGTACCTGCATAAGTGCATATACAAACAAGGCTATGTAAATCTTTAACTGTGATAATAATAGTACTAGTCACAAGTTTGATATTATATAGCACTGTTTATATAGCCTCCCTTAATGAGCAAAGTCTAGTGGAATAAATCCTGAAGACAAAGGAAAAGAGAACATATACTGTTCCTTGTGGTTTCATCTTGAGAACTACTTAATATTAAAAACTGGGGCCTAAAAGAGATTTGTGCAAAGCATGGGTTTTCAGATGTTGAAGGACCCAAGTTGAAGGAAGTTTTATCACAGAACTGATATATACCTCCTTTGATCAAGGCAGTCTTTGTTCTGTTTGTCTGAATAAAGCAGTTCTCCAGATGTTTGATCAGACAGAAGAGACAAGGAAAAGTATTCTACTATGCGGTGGTAATTTTAAAAAATCTAAATGGCAATATTGAAATTAGAAATGGATTTATTACCTAATCTATCAAATGATAGTATCAGGAAATCTGATGCCTTGCAAATACCACAAAGAAGTAGCCTAGTGTCTGCCCCCTTTTAATTATTTGCTTAGAAATTTCCTGTTTTATTATTAGCTTTAATATTTACTTAACTTCTAATTTTGATATGCAGTAATGGAGACTCTGCTGTCTGAATTAACAATTTAAGATATTAACTTTAACTTACTCATTCAACTATTTAGGCATTGGTACTTACCTAAAAAATATCAAAGCATTTTGAAAAAACACAGCTAATCCTGGGTATACAGTAATATCTAAAAATACAAATTCCAAAATGTATTTTTTATTTTGATATAAGGAAGAAAGTCAAAGTTACTACATTCCATTATAAAATGCAAATATTTAATTCAAAAGACTATATAAGCTGAGTCTACCCTGGGAATGAAGCCCTTTACACAAACTAACACAACATCTTAAAATTCTGAATTGCTACTCAGTTTGAAGTTGAACTGCAGCTAGGGCAAGGAGAGGCTTTTTAATCCATAACTAAACATCTGAATTTCAAAAGATTACTCAGCTTGGTTAAAAATCCAATTATATGATATGTTTATAATCATTAAGTTATGTGAAACAATGCTCTTTTCCAGATTTCTGAGATTATCTTTGTCTCCTTTAAAACTAAGACTCCTCTGTAATATTTTAAAGCTAAAAGTAATTTAAGAGTTGGAACAAATTACAGCCTGCTGAAATGATAGTCTATCCTCTTATACATGGTATTTATACAACATGCTTCTGTATTATTAGTATAATCACAATTTACTTAATCTAATTTTATGAATTCATACAATATGTTGAATTGTGAACTAATCAGCACAATAGGAAAAAATAACATTAGCTACAGTACTTTGTGAGTATGTTTATGAAAACAGAATTACAATTTATTCTTGCTATACAGGAAAGGAAATGTGGAACTTGTCTTATAAGAAAGACAATTTCTACTTGGTAAACCGATATGTTCATGATAAAAGCACTAAATTAGTTAAGCAAAAGCATTGTTGATTTAACGTCAATGCATTCGCAGAAGATAGTATATTTGGAAAGTTGTCTAATGGGATTTAGATTCCAAACAAAAAAAGTGGTTTGGAGTACAAGGAGGTCTTAACCATAGCATCCCTCTGCATCTTTTCTCAAGACAGTATGGTTGCATTTGACACGTGCAGTGCAATTCCAATGCTAGACAGTGCTAATATTCACTCTTGTGAGCTAAGTATCTATAATAATTTTTATTAGATTTTTATCCCACATTCATTACCTTATAAATAACTCATGGCAGTGAACATACGTAATACTCCTTCTTCCTATTTTTCTCACAGCTGCCATTGAAAATATTTAGCTAAGAGTCTGTGACTGGCCCAAAATTAGCCAGCTTTCATGCCTAAGGCGGGACTAGAACTTAAGTCTCCTGGGTTCTAAGTCAGCATTTTAAGCATTATACCAACTGGCTCTGTCAAACCTCATTTAAGGTGAGAGCAGCAGATATGCCTTTGCTTTCTCCAATACTATCAAGTCTGAAGCTGGCCTGACTGAAACCATCTATGAGGCTTCAGTGTTGCCACAATGGAGATAAGGGTTAGGGAGGGAGGGATAGAAATAGCTGGAGTGGTCGTGTTTGTAGCCAAAACAAAATAGTTTTCTCTGGAAACCAAGGACATTCCCACAAGTGACTGAAGACAGGAGGAGTGAATTTACCAAGCAACTAGACAGCACCTTGATTGGACCATGTGACTGATTATTTGGGGAAAGGGGGACAACTTTTGATTAGGTGAAAACCACAGGAATCTTTAGACTCGGTTTTCACCAGTCCATGCCAATATATGTCATGCCCAATAAAACTGTTCTTTAAGGAATCTACCTGCCTCGGAGTTCTGTTTGCTATGGGTAGATTACTTGGAACCTTGATATTAAACCGATTCTTGACAAATACTCTGTACAGGCAGTCCTTGACTTACAGCAATTCAGTTAGTGACTGTTTGATGTTATAATGGCATTGAAAAAGTGGCTTATCACCATTTTTCACACTTATGACTGTTGCAGAATCCCTGTAGTCATGTGATCAAAATTTAGATCCTTGGCAACTGACTTACATTATGATGATTTATGTCCTGGAGTCATGTAGTGAGAGAGCCAGATTTAGTCAACAACTGTGCTACTAACTTAACAACTGCAGTGATTCACTTAACAACTGTGGCAAGAAAGGTTGTAAAATGGAGCAAAGTTTACTTAACAATTGTCTCACTTAGCAACATAAATGTTGGGCTCAATTGTGGTTGTAAGTTGAGAACTACCTGTATAGAATTTTGTTTGCCGAGGCACTGCTATCAAGCTGTTGCCCAACATCATTCATGAGATAGTCAACTATATAAATATGATGAATAAATAAACTGAAGTACTTTTACACAGCCCTATTCAGAACGATTAAGAGAACCTTTCCTGCATTTTAAAATTCTGCACTAAGCATGTTCAGGAAAGCATATACTAAACAAAACTCTACTTTCCCAGTTCAAATCAAACTGTTTTTTCCCCAATTTCCCCCCAATTTTTCAACTATAGAACAGAAACACATATTATACGAATTGGAAAATTTACTCAAATATTCTGAAATTACATTAAACTATAGTCTAACCATCCATCTCCTTTTATTTTTATATTGTACTTTTGTGTTCTCTCCTTTCCTGTACTATATTCTATATTGGACATTTGTAACAGTAAAGCAGTCTGAATATTTCTGTTCTGTTATATATTTTCAAAATATATAATTAATATACATTTGATTGATTTAAAATACTAGTTATTTAATGATTTAAAAACTTCTTCAGTGTGTTTTTCCTCCCCTTATTAAAAAATAGGAAGAAAGGATTCTTACTTTGGGTAACATATGCTCCAAAAAGGATCCATATAGAAGCAATAAGTGAGCCAAACATCAACATGAAGCCAATGAAGAGCCAGATACGAGCACCTAAAACAAGATTTACATTCCTTGAATCAAACTTTACTTTTATTTCTTAAAGATTTCAGTGATTCAAAAGAACACATTAGCAAAAATTATACTATTTTCAAGTGCCAGATCACCAGCTCTGATAAATTCAAATAAATTTAGGTGCAATACAGTACAAGATTAACTAGATAAATGTTATCTTAAAGAATTTGAAATAAATAATTAAGAAATATTGAGCAATGTCAGTATGGGTCAATTTAAAGAGATCTATTTTGGTAAAAAAAAAAAAACACACCTTCATAATGAAGTTTATTAGATAACTTTGGAAGCATTGTTTAAATAATTCCTGCAAGAATACAATGGAATCAGACTTTAAACACACATTACCCAATGTTTGTTAATAAAATTGTGATAAAGCAAGAACCTTTCCTGAAACTATCAGCGATAGTTTTTAAAGAAATAATACTATTTTTACAAAGCAGCAATATCAGCGTTTTACCTCAAAAGCAGGAAGAAACTCATGTGTAACTATCTCTTTCTTCTTGCCTTGTGGTACAAAATAAAGATAGAAATGTTTGATGTGGTGCATCTTCTCCTGAATAACAAGATTTTAGATCAGGATTCTTGTAATCAAGAGTGCACTCACCTGTTCTTCCTAAACATCCATCACCATAACTGTCACCTCTTACTTGAGCATTTGATACAGCATTTATCCTGCAACATATTCACAAACAAATCTTAAAAGCAGAAAAAAGCAGAAATAAAATCCATTTGATTAAATTTCTCTCTTTTGTAATTCATTTTAGCTTATTTTCCTTTGAATCTAAAGGAGTTAGTGCAGAAACGATATGAAATAAAAAATATTACAGTTCAATAACCAATGTTTAAAACAGGAATAGAATTATTTTAATGTATTTTCTGGTTCAATTTTCTGTAATTATTGGTATTTGTCTGATACTTGACTAAGTCTAAGCACCTTTATTTCTGAGTGGTTTAGAACAGGGGCCTCCAACCTCATGTGGCCCGTTTCCCCTCTCTCTCCCACAAACCAGGCCACCAAGCCACAAAGATTGGGGAACGCTGGTTTAGGAGAATGGTAGAACCTGGGGGAAGAGTGAAAAGGATGGCTACATCAGGGGTGTCAAACTCAAGGCCTGAGGACCAGGTCCAGCCTGTGGGATGCTTAGATCTGGCCTGCGGGGCTGCACTGGAAAACCAAAGAAAACACGTTCCCACTCTCCATTTTCAGCTGGGACAGCCTCCTGCAACCCTCTGCCAATACAAATGGAGCTTGGGAGGAAATGGAATGCGGGAGGGCCCTCCCGAGCTCTGTTTTCACTGGCAGAGAGTTGCAGGACGTTGTCCCAGCAGAAAATGGAGCTCAGACCAATTTTGCTGGCACTTGGGCCACCACAGGCGCCCCTGACATGAGTGATATCATGCTGGCCATGCCCACACCCACCCCGGCCCCTGAGGTCAAACAAACCCTGATGCAGCCCTTAATGAAATTGAGTTTGACACCCCTGGCCTACATAGTAACAAGCAAAATATATCCACCCCCACCCCCAATGTCATACCCCTTATCTACAGTAACTCTAACCAGATCCTTACTATCGAGAAGGTTCCTAATCAATCAGCTTAATTGAATCTTCATGTATAGACGTGGTCTTTTGCACCTAACATGTGGCAGCAGACCAGCATAATGAACAGTAATGCCTTGAAAGTAGTAGTTGTAATCAATGTTAATAACTACAAATATTAAGACACTGAAATGGGAAAAGTTTGGTCTAGTTTTTAAGATTCTGTTGGTTTGTGTTCCACCTAAAAACTCCGAGATAATGAATTCCATTCCTGCCTTATCCATGAAAGCCAGCTGAATGATCATGGGCCAGTCATTCTCTCTCAGCCCATCTCAGCTAAGAAGAGTTTTGTTGTGGGGAAAATAGAAGAAAAGAGGTATGTTGGATATGTCACCACCCTGAGTTATTTGTAAAAATATAAAGGTGGAACACAAACCAACAAAAATTCATAGATTAGGAATGGTGGTTTGAAGATGGTATGGAAATCTTTAGTGCAAACAAAAAGCTTTGTTTTTAAATTTTTGTTTTTAAAAAACAAATCTTTATGCAGGTAGTCCTCAACTTACAACTTTAATGGAACCTGCCCATTATGGTTATAAGTCGTGATAATTGTAAAGCAGCCATCACATGTCCAACCCGATTTTAAACCTTTTTTGAGATTGCTGGTAAGTGAATCACCATAGTCAGTAAGTGCATCTGTGGTCATTAAGCAAATCCATTGTTTGCTATGGGGCATTTTTGCAAAAACCAGGAGTAAATTCAGCCTTGAATCCCTACAAATACATTCTGGTTTTCAGGAAAAACATAAATCACAGTTGTACAACTGTGTGATAGATTGCAAATGATCTTAAACACGGGCAGTTGCTATGCACTCAAAATCTGGTCCCATGACAAGGATAGCAGCTTCAGAATCAGGTTTAAGTACCTTTTGGGGTCCATCATAACTTCGAACTTTCACTAGGCAACTAATCGTAAATAGAGGACTATTAAAACACGAACCAAAATAAATGGGAAGCTGAAAAAATTCCCTTAAAATGTATTTTGTTTTTTTGTAAAGCTAACAAATAATAATTCAAAAAATAATTGAAACATAGAGAAATACATACATACATACATACATACATACATACATACATACAAAATCTTATTTGATGCAAATATGACACTTGGTGACTGTAAGGATACATGTACGTTATATTCTGGACAAGATTTGGAAATGGAACTGCTACAGTAATTTTTAGTATTTTTAATCTGGTCAACAACCTTGGGATTTCTTAGTGGTTATCCAACCTAACAAATTATTGAAATCCTGCTTAGCTTTTTCAGCATCAGCTAATGTAAACAAGGTGCTCTCCTCTGCCATGATTTTACATTGACTTACATGAAAAAAGCTAGGGTGGAAAATACTCCACAAGTGTGAAATGCATGATTCATTTCTTCTGGTTTAGGATAAGCTACTGCAGCATCTATCATTATCCACCAGCCTGTAAAAAACTGTAAAAATATAATTGATCAGTTAGTTCCAAAACTAGTTTAAGAAGATGATACATGTATCTGTTTCTGTCCACTATCATCACTCCTTTTTAAGCACTATAATCATCTAAGCCCCAGTCATTCATTTCTATAAGTGAAACTAAGCTTCTAAACAAAATAATCATGTTATTCCTTTCCAATGGCATTCAGACTATTGAGCCCAAAATTTATGTTGTTAAATGAAACATTTGTTAAGTGAATGCTGCTCCATTTTACAACTTTTTTGCCACAGTTGTTAAGTGAATCACTGACATTGTTAAGTTAGTAACACAGTTTTTAAGGAAATGTGGCTTCCTGATTGAGTTTGCAAAAGAAGGTTGCAAAAGGTGATCACGTACCCCAGGGACACTGCAACAGTCATAAATAAGAGTCAGTTGCCAAGCATCTGAATTTTGATCATATGACCATGGGAATGTTGCAATGGTTGTTAAGTCAATTTTTCAGTGCCATTGTAATTTTGAACACCTAAATCAGTGGTAGTCAACCTGGTCCCTACCGCCCCCTAATGGGCGTTCCAGCTTTCAAGTTACTTCCCTACTTTATAAATCACCATTACTGTGGAACCAGTGGGCGGTTAGAAAAGTTTACTACTAACAGAGATACAAAAGTGGGTGGTAGGTATAAAAAGGTTGACTACCCCTGAACTAAATAAACTGTTGTAAGTTGTGATATTTGTAAACTATAGTAATGTGAACAAACTATTTGTAATTTATATTGTTAGATTTCATTATAAAAGTTGTAAAACTGAGCCAAAGAGACTCTATAACTTGGAGAGAAGAATCTTTTAACCCTCAAATTCCACATGAATTGTCATTCTTTCTAAGCAGCTTAACTTTTAGATTGCATTTCTGTAAAATACACAAAGCAATGCAGAATAAAAACATAAAAATAGTACATATATTATAATCAATAAAGGAGAATATTTGTAACTCAGGGTTGAAATGAGGGGTCCTTGGTGTTCTTTGAGCTTGGTTGTTTCTTGCAAACATTTCATTAGCCAAACTAAGTGACGTCATCAGTTTGGATAATGATACGTGTGCAAGAAAACAACCAAGTTCAGAGAGCATCAAGGACCCCTCATATATCAGTATATAATAATCTTTTACCCAAAATTTTCACATATATGTATTAAATTCTACTGTTTTGCTGGTTGTCCATATCACAATTGCATTAAAAGACACATAAGAGTTGCCTTTTGTAATTTGAAAATTTACATTCTTAACTCATTTACTGTAATAAGGTAAGTTCTGCACTTAAATGACTGAATGGGTCAGGGGGAGGGGGCAATCACTGGAAAAATAGTTATTAATACTGGAACCTTTACAAAATCTGTCTGGAATAATGTCAAATAGCTATCAATAAAATATATTTACCCATAAAGCATGTGAACTTTCAAGTACTCTGCTGTACTGTGGGAAAGAGGTTTTTCTAGTTTGCGTAAGAAAACAAACATTTCCAAATTTTGCAATCCATTCCACTTTCCACTTTGTTTTAAAAAACAAAGCATCTTTTCTTGGCCAATAAATAAATATACTGTGATTACTTTTCAAATAGATAGGACTGTGTTAGTTGGGGTTTGTTCAAAGCTCAGAATATTTAAAAAAGTGCTTATGACCCATTGTAAGTATTTTTATTCCAGAAACACTCTTCAGAACATTGTTATCTATCCCTATCTAACCCTAATAAGCATTTTTTTTGGGTGTGGAAATATGTGAAGAATTGCAGTGTAAGAGACCAAATGATGCCCAAGACAAGTTCCAATGGAATACATACAAATATAAATTGAGAGATTTTCTTGAGAAATGGGAAATAATAATAAGTAAAATAATAAACTTTTCTAGTTTTTCTTTGTTAAAATACACAACTATAAGAAATCATTCTTAAAATACAAGAAATAGAATGTAAGTCACTTCCACAGTCTTCCCAGCTCTTAATCCCTGATTTACAGATGGTTGAGACTGATTCCGACTACTTAATATGACTATTTTCAAATACATTTTGGATATCAAAATATTATAAGCATCAACATGTTTACCCATTTGCAGGTCTACAAAGGTCACAGAGAATCAGTAGCTAGTTACCACTTCTCCTTCCAATTCCTTGCCAATGGATATTGTACCATTTACACAATAATTCATGAATTCTCATATTGGTGAGGATCTAAGGCATCATCATTAGCAAGAGGTCAACTCGCTTCATTATTAGAACTGAGAATCCATCCATATATATTTTTTTGTAAAATGTTATAGATATAAAATTATGGGGATCTCTTTAGTAATCTGAAAACAAAAAAAAATTAATCCAAGTTTTTTTCTTTTTTTCTTTTATATGCAAAAAGAAAACAAGAAATCCCCATAAATATATGTAACTCTTACTAATCAAACCTAATCTTATATTTATGTATTCTATAGTGTCAATGTCAGGTCATGCTACACAACTCATTAAAATTATTTCAAATTAGTTGGATACAACAAACTCTTACAGAATTTAGAGATAGGTCATGAGATTACTAAACCTTAAAATCAGCCATAAAGGTCATATGACTTACCAAGACCCCAGCCACCACAGAAGCAACTGCATTTCTTCTTTCACCCCAATCTATACATTCACATTCAGGCCAACGGAAATTGTCTAGGAATCCTGCCATTTTTCAAGTTCAGTTGGGCTTCTTTACTCTTGATTTTTGTAAGTTTCCAACCCTAAACAAAAGATTAGAAAGAACATCAAACTGAAAACAAGTGTGGTTATTTTCATATAAATAGCCTGGATCAGATAAAATGATTGTTTTAAGGAATGGTTTGAATCCCTAGTGCTGCGTAACTGAGTGAGCTTCCGTTAGTTGTCCCAGCTTCTTCCAACCTAGCAGTTTGAAAGCATGTAAAAATGCAAAGCAGAAAAATAGCAACCATGTTTGGTGGGAAGTTAACAGCTTCGGCGTTTAGTCATACCGGCCACATGACCATGGAGACATCTTCGGACAGCGCTGGTTCTTACACTTTGAAACAGATGAGCACTGTCCCCTAATCAGGAACAACTAGCACATATATGCAAGGGAAACATTTAACTTTATCTTACATTAGTTATAATAACCATAAAGTTATATATAATATACTGTATTCTCTTTTAGTACAATATACAGAACCAGGAAGTGATAAATTAGTAACCCATGTTCCCTATTCAGAGAAAGGGATTTTTTATCATTACAAAACAAAAGAAGGAACAGAGAAAATGCCCCCACCACCACCACTTGTCAATGCATACCTACATCTTTTATACATACACATTTGGATTTTAAGGCCCTAATTTATTTTAGAGATTTTCAGGCAGTTCCTTTTTTTTCATTCCTACATTTCTAGATATTTCAAGGAAAATTTTAATAAACTTTTAAATAAATAATATCCTCTGTTTTGAGGAAACCACTTTGCAATCACTTATATACAGGGTATTTACTATAAGAAAAGGAAAAAAAAAAGGGAATAAAACGAACAAATAAAAAGGAAACACAACTCATCATCCTCCATACACCCCATCTACCCCCTCCAACTTTCCTTTCTCCCTCTACCACTCCCCTCCTACTTCCCTTT